TAGAAGGGATTTGTTTCAAAATAAAGGTGGTGCCAGTGGTGTGGTGACATCTGTAGTCCCAGCTACATAGGGGATCGAGGCAAGAGGATTGCTTGGTTCAAGCCCAGGCAGAGCAACATAGCAAGACCTCATCTCTTTAAAAATTATTGTAGCCTGTTTTGGTGGCCCACACCTGTAATCCCAGCAACTTGGGACACTGAGGCTGGAGGATTAAGTGTAGGAGGCCAGTCTTAGCAGTTTAGTGAGTTCCTAAGTAACTTAGTGAGACCCTGTCTCAAAATAAAAAGAGCCGGGCATGTAACTCAATGGTAAAAAGCCCCTAGGTTCAATCCCCTGTACCTAATAATAATAATAATAAAATAAAAAATTTTATAAGGGGAGGGAGGGATATCCCTTTCCCATATGAAAAATGAAAGACCTGGTTTTGATAATTGTTGAAGATCAGTGATAGAGAAGGGAAATTAATTTTATTATTCTCTAATTTTTACATAGTTGATATTTTCCATAATATAAGAGCTTTTAAAATGTTTATATTATTTAATCTAGTTACACATTTAAAATCATACTGCATAAAAAGTCTATCAAAACTTGTATTTAAAAAATTATATATATAAATATATTTTAAATATATGAATATTTCCCCCCAGAGCCAAACCTAGAGACTTATACCAGTCCTCTACCACAGAACTGTATCCCCCAGTTCCCAAATGTAATTTTTACTGCTATATGTGCAGTAGGCTGTTTCTCTAAAGTTTAAGTTCTTTTTGCCTTGCTTCCCCCCACCCTTTGCTTTAAATCAAACAAGGGCCGCTTGCATTATGCCAGGCAAGCACTCTACTACTCAGTTACAGTTATACCCCTAGCCCAGTGAATTTTATTATTAGCAAAGTTTTCTTTTTATAATTGAGGTATTTGATGATAAAGCTACACATATGACTGGATAAAACTTTATTATTTATTATTATTTTAAAAACTTCAGGGACTGGGAATTTGCACAATTGGTATATGACATGATTTAAAAGAAATGACACCATCTTCTTCACTTCTTATTTAAAAAAAATTTTTTTTCAGCACCAGCTGTGGGATGCTATATCCCTTTTTCTTTTTCTTTTATAACAAATCTTTTCTATATTTATTAAAGATTCTTAGAACTAGATAAAAACTTAGTATAATTACAAGTAAATAATATTAGTGTGGGAGGAGATAGGGAGGATATACCAAATATCTATAGCTAAATTTTCATTTGTGATTTGTCATAAAAAAACTTTTACTCTGGTGTCTACAGTTCAAAATCATGAATTCATGGGAATTGGTGTCTCTAGTGCTCCAGGTTTCTTTGTAAAATGGGGTATTAAAACTGATTCCACTAGGTGCCTGTGAGTAACCAATCAATTCACTTCCTTGCTGCTGTTTGGCATTCTCACAGTGACCATCTTTCCACCGTAGAAAAGGACACAAATGGAGAAGTTCTGTGGGTGTGGTGTTACCCTTCCACGACAGCCGCATTAAGGAATCTGCTGCTCAGAAAATGCTGTCTCACAGACGAAAACAAACTTCTCCATCCCTTTGTCTTTGGGCAGTACAGAAGAACATGGTTTTATATCACAACAATTGAAGTTCCAGATTCTTCAGTTTTGAAAAAGGTATGACTGCAAAAATTTTAAGTGATATAAAATTATTCCAAAACTCAGCTTTAGATCTTATTTATGGAAAACATTGCTACTTTCATTTGGGAATGTTTTCTTTCATACTTCACTCATTGATTCTATAAGTATTTTTTGTGGTTGGTAGAGTGGTAACCAATACTGACACATTTGGTCTCCTCCTTATCAAGGTTATAGTTGGGTGGAGTAAAAATGTAAAAGTAGTTTTAAAGCCATGACTGGTTAAAAGTGGAAAGAAGTATTCTTCCATAATTAGAAGCTATCTTAGAAGATATAATTATTCTTGGCAGATTTAAGTTTTTTTCATTTGCTTATAAATAATAAGGATATATTAGGAATTTAAAAATGATAATTAAGAAAATTCATGTATTGGGCTGGGATTGTGGCTCAGTGGTAGAGCACTTGCCTAGCATGTGTGAGGCACTGGGTTTGATTCTCAGCATCACATACCAATAAATAGACAAAGTAATTCATCAACAACTAATAAAAATGTTTAAAAAAAAAGAAAATTCTTGTATTAAGAAGGCTTTTATTGGTGTGTTGTTTCATAAGAATGGTATCAGTGAAAGGCTGGGAATGTAGCTCAGTGGTAGAGTGCTCATCTAGAATGGGTGAAACTGGGTTCAATCCCCAGTACTGACAAAAAATAAAATAAAATAACAATAGTATCAATGTGACATGGTGAAATCATTACATGGTTATTGTAGACTTTCCTAATCACAAGCAGGCAGGTTTTTCCAAAGGAAAGAATATTAGGTAGGGTTGGGGCTGTAGCTCAGTGGCAGAGCACTTGCCTAGCATGTGTGAGGCACTGGGTTCTCCTCAGCACCACATTAAAATAAATAAATAAATAAAGGCATGCTATCCATCTGTAACTATAAAAAAGATTTTTTTTTTTTTAAAAAAGGAATATTAGAATGAAGTGGCTGAACCTCTGGCATATACCATACACCAGAGGCAATTCTCTTCCCTTTTTTGGGTTAATTTTTTTCAGCTGTAATGGAACTATATGAAGCATGTACAGAAAACGAATTTAAAACTTAAGAAATTACATTTAAAATATTAAGAAGGCAACAATTTAGGAATGGTTACAAGTTAAAGACAAAATAGAGACTTATAATTAGAAAATGTAAATATGCAAGAAGATAGGTTCCAAGCTGTTTAAGATCTTTAGTGTCTGTCCTTAAAGTTTTTGATGAGAAGTCTTGATGCAGCTTCCAGTGCACTTATCTCATGTTTTGCACTAAAGACTGCAAGTTATGGCAGCATCACTGTCAGCAAGATTTAGAGAAAGTTCTTATGCTTCAAGTGTGATTTAAAAAAAATTTTTTTTCTTCAATGCTTTTGCTTTTAATAAAGTTCTGAGTTTTGTCTTATTAATGGAAATATCAGACATATGATTATCAGAAATATATATTTACAATAATAGAGGCATATAAATAAAGGAAGCTTGTTCGAATAATACCATTTATTTATTTATTTTCATTGTAGATAGACACAATATCTTTATTTATTTATATTATATGCATTGCTGAGAATAGAACTCTCAGTGCCTCACACATGCTAGACAAGGGCTGTACCGCTGAGCTACAACCTCAGCCCTAGAATAATACTCCTTAGAGCACTGTATAGAGAGTTGACTATTTCAGAATCTGACATGTATTTTGCTGTTTTCCATTCTGTCTCATTGATGAAAAACAGTTGCTAAATTGATAGGTCTGGTTCTTTTATATATATAATATTTGTGGGCGTATGTGTGTATGTGCTGGGGATTGAACCCAGGGCCTTGTGCATGGGAAGCAAGCACTCTACCAACTGAGTTATATCCCCAGCCCTATAAGGATGGAATTAAAAAAAAAAAATTTTTAGTCGTAGATAGACACAATACCTTTATTTTATTTATTTGTTTATTTATTTTTTATGTGCTGCTGAAGATTGAACCTAGTGCCTCATACACACTAGGCAAGCACTTTATCACTGAACTATAATTGCAACCCTCATAGGTCTGATTTAGCGGTCCTAGTTTTGCTTTGACGAGTGTTTTTATTTATTTTTTTGGCCTCTTTTTTTTTAACTGGTTGTTTAAAACATTACAAAGCTCTTGACATATCATATTTCATACATTAGATTCAAGTGGGTTATTAACTCCCATTTTTACCCCAAATACAGATTGCAGAATCACATCAGTTACACATCCACATTTTTACATAATGCCATATTAGTAATTGTTGTATTCTGCTACCTTTCCTATCCTCTACTATCCCCCCCTCCCCTCCCCTCCCATCTTCTCTCTCTATCCCATCTACTGCAATTCATTTCTCTCCTTGTTTATTTTCCCATTCCTCTCACAACCTCTTATATGTAATTTTGTATAACAATGAGGGTCTCCTTCCATTTCCATGCAATTTCCCTTTTCTCTCCCTTTCCCTCCCACCTCATGTCTCTGTTTAACGTTAATCTTTTCCTCCTGCTCTTCCTCCCTGCTCTGTTCTTAGTTGCTCTCATTATATCAAAGAAGACATTTGGCATTTGTTTTTTGGGGATGACGAGTGTTTTTAAACCAACACTGGCTACTAAAACAATTTACGTTTTTTGATATATGAGTGAAATTTTTTGTGTGTTTTTGAAAAAATATTTCTAAAATTATTGGATTTTTATGTAGAAAATTAAATATCTGAATGTAAATATCTTACTAAATACATGTACATATAAATAAATACATACTTATCTATTATAAATAAACATATACAAGTAATAGAGAAGCAAGTGAGAACTTTTTATATTTTCAGCTTTTCCTTTTAATGCTGGTATTTCTTGTACAAGAGGTTTGCTAGACCAAAGTAATAAATTACCCTTCTGTTAAAGTATTTATTAAATTCTATTAAGGTATCCTTTTTGTTTCTTTCGGACAGGTGACTCATTTTTCTATTGTTCTGACCGCCAAAGATTTTAATCCAGAGAAATATGCTGCCTTCGCTAGGATATTGTGTAGGTCTGTATGAAAACTGTGTTAAATGCTAATATGCCAAAATGAAGATCACACTCAATAAAGCAGATTTCTACATGGAGGAAGCCAATTTCAGCCCTCTGTCCCCCTAACTCACCCTGTAGTGGCCCTCCAAAGCCTCTTTTGTAAAGAAGGACTTTCTGTTCTGCTTTGTTAATTTTGCACCTGATCTGGGAGAATGGGCTAAGGGAAGAGAAAAAGCAGTTTGCATAGCTGTCGTAGTCTGGATGCCTCAGGTTACTTGCCGTTTTTTATCTGTTACTTCTACTGACTTTTAACCTAGGAAGTTTCTTTTGCAGGATGGATAAATTAAATACTTGACGAAGTGGTAAACTGGTTCATATGTGTCAATACCTGTGTGTGGCAGTGATTTGGGGTAAAGTTAATAGATATTTTGAATTCTGCCAAAGCACAGAAAAATATTTTTTTTAGCTAGACTGCTGAGGGGCTGGGAAATTGTGATTGATATATTAATTGTGATTCAAGTAGATTCTTTTAGTTACATCCCTGCTATTGAAAATAGTTATCTAAAATATACCAATCTGTTTTTTTCTCAAGTATATCTAAATGACTTAATGAAATTGTGTCCTATTATTAGGGGCATTGACTCTTTAATGATGGAGGTTTCTATAAGTTTTAGTTTTCATGTCGTTCTTTTTAATATTACCACTTGAAAAAATTGCAATTCTAGATGTTATGTATAGTTTTGTGGAAAAGTAGAAGAAATTGTTTTTCCCACTGTAAACCCAATAAATGGTTGCTTTTTTGCATTTTTCATGCTGCATATCCCCCCACATACATGTGCACTAAACAAAAAAAATTAAAAAACAAAAACTTAAATCTTATTACTTAAGGGTTTCAGTTAGATTATATTTTTGACTGAGTTTTTTACCATTTGTGCTGCTAGCTACAGTAAGAAAGACCTCTTGCTGTTGTAAGGTAAATTCCAGGCACATGGCTCACTATGGAATATAAACAACTTTCTGCTATTGTGGCACTGACATGGAGGGTAGCTATGATTCCTAGAAGAGACGCTACCCAGAAGCCATAAACCAAAAACACTACAGAGGTATTTTTTTAAATATTTTTTTAGATGTTGATGGACCTTTATTTTATTCATTTATTTATATGTAGTGCTGAGAATCAAACTCAGTGCCTCACACATGCTAGGCAAGTGCTCTACCACTGAGCCACAACCCCAGCCTAAAAGAGGTTTTTTTGAACAAATACTGGACTCCCATTTCACTTGATGGAGTCAGGGTTAGGTTACTCAAACTGAAATCCCTGGGAGATACTCTAGGATCCAGAAGGCAGGGTTGTTTCAGACCCCACTTCCTGTCCGGGAGGATACCTAGAGGGTCTTTAGCTTCTGCAGTGCCTGGGTGGGGTAGCATTTTGGATTCTCTTCTCCATCATGGAGTAAAAGAAATAAGGACTTGGAGCTCTTGCCAGCCATCTCCTCTACCCCTACCCTGCATCGCATGCCCACACGTATGTCTACGTGCTTATGCGCAGGCAAATGCTTCTTCATGGAGGTGAGGTCAGCATGGAGGTGCTCCTTCTACTTCTGGGCAGAGAAGCAGGCAGGCTTGCCTCCCACAACACATTGCTCACAGTGGCAGCAAAAGCCACATGCACAGGCTTCAGTCCCTTGGTGGCACCCTCTGCCATGACCTCCTTTATCCTCTAGTCCCTGTAGCAGTGGCCCTGGTAAAGAACCATGATTTTCTGAACACCTGGACTCAGCTGTGACAGATGTGACAGCCTATGGAGTCTGTCTGGACAAGGCCCACTGGATTGCACTGTGTAGTTCTCCCAGGGAGTAGTTTAGGAATTCCTTTCTCTGTTGTGTCCTTCACAGCCCAGAGTTGCCACCTAGGAAGTCGTCTTATTCATCAACTTTTATGTTTGTCTTCTGCATTACTGTATATTATTTCTATTTTGTAATGTTAATGGCATTTTTGTTGGTGGCAATAAAACAGAATATTTTAAAGATCAATAATACAGAAGAGTATATAGTGAAAATTAAGATCCCTCCTCCCTGTTCCCCAGCCTCCCATTTTGCCTCCTGACTCCCCCCATTCAGCCTTTGTGATCTTTTCTTTCTATCCTAACAAAGATGTTTTCTTCATATATAAGCTTGAGTTCATGGTTTTCCATTAAGAAAACCCACTGTATTCATTGTTCTTCACCTCCCTTACCCCCAGTTTATTTGAAATTAGGGGGAAAAAAAAACCTGCTGATGACTAACAAAACTTGGTTACCAGTTAAAACACTAACATTTAGCTCAGTCCCCACACTCAGGAGGCTGAGGCAAGAGAATCCCTTGAGTTCAAGA